TTGTTAATGATTCAATACAAACTTAAAAAGAAAAGATTTAATGATTTATGATTATTCAATATTTGTAAAATATACAGATATAGTTATATTACTTATTAAATATGAAAAAGTAAAATCTTATACTACTATAGAAAAATCAAATTCCTCAATCGATAATTAGAAAAACAACGAAGTTCTTTGAATCTTTTCAGATATCAAATTGTTTTTCAATAGAAACAATGTTCGTTTGATGAGTGCTAGAGAGAATAATAGAAAAGTTTAGAATAGTTTGATTTTCCAGATAATAAAATTTAACTGGATTTTTCAAAAAAGAAACTTATGATACATTGAAAATTAACTTTTGATTTCAAATTTTGCATGAACAAAGTTCTTAATGTAAAATTTATTTTCACACATGAGAGAATACTGAATATTTCAGGATAGGAGATACTAGAAAAGTTAAAACTTGCCTAATGAACTGATCTCGTGCAAAAATTGAAATCGAAAGTTGATTTTTAATGTTTCATCAGTACTCATCAAATGTACATCGTTTTGATCGAAAAACGATTTGACTTGACGAAGTCCAAAAGGACTTGCGTCGATGTCATTCTTTTCGAAGCTACGATCATTTTACTGAATTTTTTATTTCATGCAAATCAGTTCGCCAAAGATCGTAAAACACAGATTTAGGCTGAAGTTTTGCCCATCAGTAGGTCTCACTACTATTAGATTACTATGAAGTTTTTCATTGAAAAGTACGATTTCTTCGTGAAGTTTCCAATGATCAAAAACTTTCATGTCTTATAAGCAAAACTCACCAGGAAAAATTTTCAAGTAATAAATCGCTTTTAAGCTGAAACTATATTCAATCGATAGGATCTAGTGAGAAAGTAAATGCTTAAGAGTGATTCAAGCTAATGGACCTTTGTTGCTGAAATTTTGTATGTTTAGTTGGTTTTTCTTTTAGAGCCCTAGCTTTCAAGCAAAATTATAATTTTGAATTTCGATCTGAAACTTTGTCTAAATAAAGACACCGATTAGATTATCTTGTATAAAAAAACATTTAGAATTTATTTACTAAGTCTTTACAAGATATGAATTTTTTAAAATACAGGAATTTTACTATGATTATTGTAAAAAAATATGAATATTTTGAAAAATTCATATCTCAGAGATACTTGGTCACAAGATTCTAATTTTTTTTTGTTACAAGCTAATCTGATCGATGCCTTTATGTGGGTGAAATTTCAGAACAAAATTCAAAAGTATAATTTCACTTAAAAACTTAGGTCTCACAGGAAAAATTCACTAAACATTCGAAATCTCAGCAATAAACCACTCTAAGGATACTTACATACTCACTGGGTCCTATGAATTCAATATAGTTCCAGTTCGAAAGTGATTCATCACTTGAGGATCTTTCCTCGTCAGAACGCCAATTTTTTTTTTTGATCATTGAACATCTCAAGAAGAAGCTGTGCTTTTCTAGAGAAGTATCCAAAGCAATCGAATAACAATTAGATCTGTTTATAAGCGAAATTTCCGGTCGAATTTGTGTCTTATAAGCTTTGATTAGCTTACTTATGTAAGGTCGAAAGTTCAGTAAAACGGTGGTAACGTGCGTATCCTTTTTGCTTTTCACTATTCGTATTGAGACAAACTATGAGCTCGATCAGCGTCCGATAGTTGGAGATATTTCCTTACTTTTACTAGAATTTTTTGCAAATAAACCATCTTTATTTATTTTTGAAAATTGTATATCTTCGGGATGTGGTGTTAAATTAATTCCTCGACACCAATCTTCATAAAGTTCTGGTTGATATTTATAAACAAATGCATCCATACTAATTTTAACCATATCTTCTCTACAAGTACATTTTATTGAATGTTTTCCATATTCAATCCAACGTTCTAAAGCAAAATTTGTTGATTCAGCACAATTAAAACCATAATTAAAGCCAGAATGATAACCATAAGGAAATGTTATCATAAATTCTCCTTCATATTGAGTCATTTTACTATATGGAATAGATTGTTTTATTAACATTGTTGGTGAAATAATTGTCATTTTATGACGAAGAAAAGCTGGACATCGACGTGCCAATGAAGGAAAACGAGATGCAGCAAATTGTTCAAATTTTCTACCATATGATGGTGGAATAATATACCTAAAAAAATAAAATATAAAACGATATTTTTCTTTTGTTATCTATTTTAAAATAATCAAAAAAAAAGAAAAATATTTTTTTTTTTTGCAAAATAATATGATGTAAATATTCTCACCGATTTCTTTCTTTTTTTTCTTTCTAAATGATATTTAAGTATTTATAGAAAAACAAAACAAGTGATTAATCTTTATATATATATATGTATATGTTTACCATTGTTTTGGTGCTCCGAAATGAAGATAATTAATTGAATAAAGTTCCATATCTTCAGTATGCCAAGCAAAACTTGCTTTCCACATACCAAAATATAAATAAGCGGTATTAACACCTTGAATTTTCATTCCTTGTTCAGTAACAAGATCATCAAGAATTGTTCCCAAATGATTTATATTCCAAATTGTTTGATTTTCATCATAGAATGAACCACTTACATCTTAATAAGAAAATATTAATTTAAATTTGTTTATAAGAAACAAAATTCGATTTATTTTTGTCATTAGAGATAATTTTAAGTTTTCTTTTTTTTTTTTGATAAGAAAAACACATAAAGGTTCGAAGCCGAAAATAGATTTTAGCTTTCAAGATTCTGTAAATCCAACAAAAACAAAAAAACGATTGATTTTATCTCTGGAGAATACTTTTAAGTATCCGTGATAAAAACTTTAGTCCGATTGAACAAAATTAGATGAGAATCGTAAGCAACCAAGATTTTCCTGCAAAAATCCATTTCAAAATTTTTTTTCTCAAACATGTGTCTCCTTATTTTTGCTACTCTATCTTTGCTAAAAATTTCGTGCGTATCACTTGTACCGTCTTCGAGAACTAGAAATAGTCAAAAAATGGTAGATACTTTTAAAGGACCTTCCCCCGTTTCGATATTTCTCGGGAACGGTTAGGCGAAAATTTTTAAAACTTTCAGGGTAGATAGATCTCGATGAGTAGAATAAAAGTTGTCATAGACTCAAAATTCTCACATGCTTTCTTCAGGGAGATTTTGAGACGCCAAGGACTAAAAATGGCTCGAAGTTTTCCTCCCGGCAAACGGCCATACTACTTTCTTTTGGGCTGAATTTTTTTCCGTAGCAACTAGGAACAAATCTGGGTGTGTATTTTGTTTTTCTTTGAAAAATATTGTTCCTGAGGCTCAGGAGAAGCAAAACATTGAAGGTACTATCAAAAAACCATAAAAAAAAAGGTTTTTTATTTTTCAGATAGTGCGAATTTTGTAAAGCCTGCCAAACTTCATAGGTACAATGTTTTCAAGAGAAAAGAAAAACACATACCCCAATTCGATCTAAGTACTCATAAAAAAAGTCTGAGCCCAATCGGTCTTATCGTTTAGGAGAAAGGGGAGGAAAACTTCAATTTTTCTCTTAAAAATCTGGTTTCGAGAAAAACGCAAAGAAAGATGCATTTTTTGGCTTTTTTAGCATAAAATGGAGTTTTTCATATACAAAAAGGCGGTTTTCCCCTTCTTAAAATGTGCTCATTAGATAGAGGGCATCTAAATCCATATACCAAACACAAAAAATGAAAAAACTAAAAATCTTGGGTCGGGAAAGGGGGGCGGATCCCCTTAAGGAAATCTTCCCCCTTATTCGGTGCTTTGGAAGAATGACTCATCGTGAAATTTTGAAAGTTTCAAGGCAGATAGATTTTGATGGGCAGAGTAAAATTTCACATAGATTCAAAACTCTCAAATACTTTCTTCTAGGATTGCAAAAGTGAAAAATTGCTCTCCTATTCGCTTCGCTTTCTCAACCATAATATGTCTTATAGAGTTGACATGATTTTTTTCATAGCAATTACTTGATAAATCAGTCGAGAATTTCGACTAGAATACCTAAGTCTAAAAATCTAAGGCTTGTGTATTTTTGTAGATCTTTCATGAGGGGTTCAGATGCATGCCTGATAATTGAAAATCCACTATAGTCACCTCATAGAGTACGTTAGTTTTCAAAAAGGTTGATTGAAAACCTTGAAAAACATCAGATCGAAGAAACTTATAATATACAATTCAATGGGTCTTCAAAAGTTATTCAAAAAATATTCACCCGTCTTTTTTTTTTTAAATGGATATTAGAAGCAGGTAAATAGATAAGTTAGACTGGCACCGACTTTAGGATTTCATGTAACGTGAGAATCCGCTCCTTCAAAGATTGGAATAGCCCTCTGATAGAAAAAATACGGACCTATTTCAAGCCTAATGGCATATCAGAAAACCTGCTATAGCATTATCTCTTGATACTGAAATAAACTAACGATATTGTTCTATATGTTTCTCTAAATTTTATTAAACGTACCGGCTCCATATATTGCTGCATTCGAAGTTAAACTTTGCCAATATTTTTTTTCTAATTTTTCTAAATCATTCGAAATCGATGCTGATGGTGCATATCGATTTGATGATGCTAATCTTTGAAATGAACTTAATTTTATTGATCGTTGTTGAATATTAAATACAGAATAAACTCCATCTTTTCCATGTACTTCTTGTTTTATTGGATTTTCTACTGATGTTTCAAAGATTTGTTTTTGTTTATAACCCATTTTACGTGCTATCCATTCTTTAGGTGGTACAATTTTTGCTAAACCAATTTTATGTGCACCACGTGCTTCAATTGAAGAAACAAAAGCTGAAAAATTTTTAAATTCATCATACGTAGGATAAAATACTGGGACTTCTAAATTTGAAGATATCATTAATATCTGTAAAATAAAATAAAGTCAAAATAAAAATTCGAAATTAATCATGATCACGTTTTACTTCAAATGGAAAAAAAAATATGTTTTTTTTTTTAATATCAAAGAGAAAAAAAAACGAAGAAGAAACAGAAAAATAAATATAAAGTTCTAAAATTTAATCTGTTCACAAGCATGATTTAATTTTTGTGCATGACCAATTTTTGTATATTGTGTACGACATCGTTTACCATAATAACAATTATCACGATTACGCATTATTACTGGAAATATATCATCTTGTTTCATATGAACACGAAATTGATAAACTAATTCTTTAAACATTTTTAAACCACATTTATAACAAACAACTTTTGATGAAAGAACTAAAAACGAAAAAAAGTAAACTTTCAAGATAGATAAAATATTTTAAAAAGAATTTACCAGCAGCATTACGATCAATATTCGAACAAGTAAATTCATTTCGATCAAGACGATCACAACATTCAATAAGTAAATCACGTATTGTCTTATGATTATTTGTAAGATAATCCTAAAAGATTTTCATAAGAAATCGAAATTTTTCTATATCAATTTAAAACTATTCATAAAAAAAACAAATTCATAATGATAATTTTCATTGCAGTATCTTTTTCAGAACAAGTAATGAAATCATAAAGACTTGTCAGAGAACATCACAGACAAACCATATATTAATAACGTCTTGTTATAATATATGATATACTTTCTGATTAAATATCATGCTAGTAAAGAAATGTGTTTCAAAATAGATAGAATAAAACAATTTCTTTATGATTAGTAATAGCAGCTACATTATGTTTCATATTTTAATCTCGCAGATATTGAACTAACAGCTTTATTCCCTTTTCTGAAAGAAAGGGTTATACGGCGATTAAAAAACGCATAAAGTTTGTCTGTTCAAGCCAATCAGAAACGAGCTTTTTATTTATCGGGTTTTCAACCACTCTGATGAAACTTTGCAATAGGTTTTCAGGGTTTAGGGGTCCGAATCCGAGATTGGATTTTTGATCCGATCTTTCATTGGTCGAGAAATGACCAATCAGAAACGAGCTTTTTTATTCATCGGGTTTTCGAACAATCTGATGAAACTTTGCAATAGGTTTTTGAGGTCGAGGGGTTCGAATCCGACATCGGATTTTTGATCCGACCTTTCATTGGTCGAGAAACGGACCAATCAGAAACCAGCTTTTTTTTAAGCTTTGGCCATCCAGATGTAATTTTTCTATAGGTTATCGGGGACGAAGAATTCGAATCCAAGATCGGACTTTTGATGTAAGCGTTCATTGTTGGGGAAACCGACCAATCAGAAACGAGCTTTTTTATTCATTAGGTTTTGGACTATTCTGATGAAACTTTGGTATAGGTTTTCGGGGTCGAGGAGTCCGAATCTGAGGTCGGATTTTTGATCCGTCCTTTCATTGGTCGAGAAACGGACCAATCAGAAACAAGCATTTTATGTTGTTAACATGATGTGTTGAAAAATAAAGACACCTAATGGAACTGTCAAGATGATTCAGTGGTAGAAAAATTCATAACCAAAGATTAATTATCAAAAGACATGATTTTATTATTGAAGGAAGAACAATTCATAAAGTTACAACGTCTGTCATTAAAAGAGACAAACGATTATTTAAGTAAAACATTTCGAAACATTATTCAATTATTGAATCACCTCTCCAATTCTTTCTTACAAGACAAATGTGATTATTTTCAATAAAAAATATCTCAAAATCTTCTCTTTTTTTTCTTTCAGAAAAGGGTCAGCGAATCCGTAAGATGAGCGCTACCTTGTTTGTAAAGATACAGTCTTTAAAACATCTTAGGAATAGTTTTACTTTTATTAGTAGTATGATATTTCAGAGTATCAGTCAAAATTAACTAGAGGCTTACTGTTGGTCCACATTTTTCTGAATCCCGAATCCAAGTTTTTCTTCAACAAGATTCAAACTTGAAAAGTAGGTAAGAAAGTATTATAGACTAATTATGAGTCTTCTATATTTAGATTCAAAGTTGATTGCAAATCATATTTAAAACTACATATGTGTAGCAATTTTCCTATACAAACTTTCATTTAATAATAGTAATCATCTTTACATTTGTAAGAAACTGTTGAAATTTATCTTTATTCAATATAGCAGATGTTCTAATTGATGAGATCTGAGTGCCTTCCAGGCCTATGAAATGGGCCATCCGGCTCGACGATTTTATCCTTTTTGGCATAACTTTTTCTGCGGGGGAAGCTTCTCCATTGTATCCCCCCCTCCCTCCTTTGGTCATCACTTTTTATAAAAGTCGAAAAATATGGAATAGCTGCCTATTGAGAAAAAAATCTTTGTAAACGAAGTGTCTTTGCGGGCAATAAAAAAGTGGTCCGGTGCCTTCAGATCTGTATTACTTAATCTCGAAGTTTATTCTTTGATTCCCTATTGAGTACAGATGAGTAGGTTCACTAAGTTCTATTTCTCAAAGTAAATTTTCGTATATTTTTTATCGATTTATTTTAAACTTACTTGAACAATCTGTGATTCAACAGGATTATCATTAACGAAATTTGTAAGATGACGAGGTGAAAAATTAAAATCTATTAATAAAAATAACATTCTATAATAAAATAATAATAATTTCTACCTCGTAAATGATTTAAACATCCAAGACATCCAGCTCGTGAACATTGTTGAAAATAAATATTGCAAAAAAATTGTTTACATATCTCACCTAATAAATAAAATTATACCAAAAATGAAATAACATTAAAGAAAAAAGAAAATCTATTTACAATGTTGATGAATATCAGGTTCATCTCGTCGATCTGGCATTGGTTGTATACAACATTGACAAAGTATATGATTTTGATTTCCCGGACATTGAAAATCAGTTGGATCAGCAGTTACAGCAACTAATAACAAAAATATTTTAATATTTTATCAAATCGAATAGAAGATAAAAATAAAATTTACTAAACTCACTTTGTGGTGGACATTGTCGGCAAACAAATCTGACATTAGCAACAGGAGGAGGAGGAGGAAGAACGAATGGATTACTATTAATAATATATCATTCAAATGAATTCTTATATAAAGTCAAACTTACAAATAAATTTGATGATGATTATCTTCATCATCATCATCATCATCATCATCATCATCATCGTGGTCATTGTCATCATCCATCTTCAATATATCATGAAAAATCTTTATGTTAAAAATAATAATCATGACTTACTTCGTCATCTTCGTCCATATCATCATCATAATCATCATATCCATATTGAGTATTATGTAAATACATTCCATCAGGACCAACCTTTATAAACCAAAACAAGGATTTTTTTTTTGACAAAGTCGATATCAATATATTTTTTGTTTTTTCAACAAACTTCATTTTTTGTGGTTTTTGCCTTTGTTGATTCGTCATTATTCTCATCAGATTGTTTTGATGTAGGTCGTTTATGTGGATATGCTTTAAGATAAGCTTCTAAAATTCCATTAATTACAAAATTTTTTTTCTTGCCAATAACTTTAACACGACATTTAGGACTAAAACAAAAAAAATAAAACAGTATTTGTTAAAAGTCAATACCAAGAATTAAAAAAAGAAATAATTTATGACACGAAATATACACTCATTTTTCGACAGCTAGTTAGAATTAGACTTCTTCAATCTTTCCAAATATGTGTTAAGAATTTTCTTCTGCGGTACGATCGAACAACTATCATCAGTTCAAATTTCACGATCGCTGTTGAAGAGCTGCTTTGTTTGTGGACTGCTTCGAATAGGATGCCGAGAAGACCTAAACCAACACTTAGTGTATGTTGCAGACATCTATTTATTTTGTCGCATTCTTTCAATGTTTTCAAATCCATAGAAACGAGCTCTTTAGTGGAAACAGATAGATTAGATTTCACTTATTCTAATATCTCGTTCAAGACTCTCTCTATTACGAACTGTAGCCCTGAACAAAAGGTTGACCCGAATCGGAGTTCTTCACTTAAACTCTCTGTACATACTGACTGACCGCAAGGGACTTTTTGTGTATGGCAAATGTTTAAAAATATTCTATGGCTGATGGTGTCCAGGCTCGAATACAATACCTTGTGGATATGTGTCGAACATCTTAACCACTCAGCCATAATGGCTCTCTGCAGACGTGCAGAATCTTCCTCGTGCGCAGGGGGGGGGGGGGGGGATTTTTTGAACAATTGCATTACTCGGGAAAATTGTCAGACTGGGGAAAATTTGGAAAAAAAACTATTAGAAGAGGAAAAATCTTGTTCTCGTCATAATTAACTGTTACAGGATATAATATTTGGACAAAAGTGATGAAAACTTTCTTCACGAACAAAGATCTGACGAATGGTATTGAACAGTTTCTACATTTCTATTCTCTGATGGTTGTCAAAATTCGCAGTGAAGCTGTTTGCGAGAGTGCTGCCTCCATCCTGAAGCAACACATTCGTGGCAATCGAGCTCTGGATCACGAATCCTTCGACAAAGAAGTGATGTTACATTGGAATGCACCACCGCTTTATCTAACAGATCCATTCATCAAGTCCTGCCTCACCAACTACTTCTCTCAATTGAAGGATAAACACTGAATTTTCTTCAAAAAACACAGAACAACATCGTCTATTCAAATTAGTTTCAGCTGGTTCAGTTGTTTTGAACCTCTTGAGAAAAGAACAAGTAGAACGAATTCCTATGTTGCACGAACAGTAATAAAGAGAACAACATGTTGCTATGTTGTCTTTTTACTTATGTTTTGTGTCAAATAAAGTTGGTCTGTGAGTGGCGAAGAAAACAGCTTTGGAGACATTTTTTGGAAGATTCTGCATCTCCGGCTCTCTGTCTCTTTTGATTGTGGAAGACGGTATGATTGATCAAGCTGAGATTTTTACCACAGCATCAAAAATAAGAAGACAGATATTCGAGGAGAAAAATTTTGAAATGGATTTTTACTCGGAAATCCTGGTTTTTCATTGGATTACATTCCAATTAATTTATGATAGCCATCAAAATTTCGTTAGAGATACCTTAAACTATATTTTTGAGGTAATTTTAAGCTTTTTTTTTTGTTTTGTATGAGAGAAATACGTAAAAGTATCGTCTTACCAAGTTCGTTGAACAGCTTCCCATGAAGCATAACAATCATTACAAAATGCATGTAAACATGGTTCTAGGCTTATTGGATTCGACATCATATCTTGACAACATACACATGTTAATACATCTTCCATATCATCACCCGCTTCCATAGCAAATTCTTTTCGTGGTTCGCCTTTTGCTTTGGTTGGTTTTAATTCAACATCTGCACTTGTATTCATTAGACTAGATAAATCAAGATTTTCTTGAGTTTCTATAATAGAAAATTCATTCAAATAGGATTTATGAAAAAAAACAAAAGTTAAGAAAACTAACGATTAGGTGATAAAGGAGGAATTGATGGATATGAAGTCATTTGTGTATCTGAAAAACAAATTCAAATAAAAAAAAAAAACGAAAATTATTCTTACCTTCATCATATGAAGATAATTCTTTATTTGATTGTTCTTCAATTTGATTTAATATTGGTAATTCTACTTGAAAGATAACATCTAAAGTGATTAAACATTTTTTATTTTGACTATTACAATTAAATAAATAAATATACTTGATTCAGGTTCATCTTTTCGAAAAACTATATGTACAGTATCACCGGAATGAAGTTCAACACACTAAAAAATAAAAAAACTTTTCCTTTTTATCATTCTTACAAAAAATTGTTAACTTACGGGATCATTTTTACTTATTTTATTTGATCGATTAATTAATGTACCATTAGAACTTGTATCACGTACATAAAGATGTCCATGATAATATTCAAATATACAATGAGATGATGATATATATGGATTATTTGCAATTGACAAATCATTAGCTAAATAACAAAATTATTCGTATAATTTTTCCCTCGAAAATCTTTTTATTCATTAAAAAATTTAGTTTTGAACTTCAAATCAATTTAGTAGAGAATCTCAAACAAATATTTTTTTCCAGTCTTCTCTTACGAGGAAACTTCTTCAGCTATCTCCTTCTGATTTCAATGATTTCTTTTTTTTGCCTATAGATAATACATAGTGTTCTAATAAAAAGATTTGGGTTTGATTAAGCTATCGAAATGTTGTTTTTTTTTGCTAGAAGTCCCAAATTTTCGAAAAATTGATCTAAACAATGTTTCTTCAAGATATCGATCCTTTCCCATGCCGAGTGTACATAACATGTATTCCTTTTTTGAAAACTAGCCTAGTTGAGTTCTCTATATGCGCGAAGTTTTCAATCAAAATTTAATAGCTTCATCAAAGCTAAATTCTTTTGAGATTTTTATTAGAACTTTATGTAGTATTTATACGCAATAAAAAAAATCATTGAAATCAGAAGAAGACCTACTGAGGATGTATCTTGTAATGGAGTTCATCCACTTTAGATTTAACAATATTGTGCAGCGTTTAATTCGATAATTACAAGCAGTATTTTTACCAAGAGGAATACAATTCAAATTGGTTACAGATAAAATATAGTAGAGTATTAATCAAAATGATAGCAATTAATTCACAACATTTATAAGTTACAAAGCCTGAAATGCTAAATCGATGGGTTATATTCTGAAAAATTGAATGGTACAAATCACGATGGAATCTCCACAGGTGTCCACTTCTGATTTCAATGGATTTTTTTTTACTTATAGATATTATGCAATATTCTAGTAAAAACACTAAAAGACCTTGAGATTTAACGGAACTATTGAATTTTTTGTTAGAGACTCTTGTAGATATACATACATTCAAAACAAATAACAGAATTTGTATATTTTAAACTATATCAATAATCTGATTTTGACAATCAAATGGAGAATCATGCAATGAGTTTGCATTTTTTTTTTGTTTGACTCTAACAATGTTGCCGAAATCCTTTTTCTCCTACTGATAGAAACATTCTGTATCGACAAGGACATTTTTCTACATTTAGGCAAAAATGATCAAAACGGTTTGAGTACATGTCTCTTTTTTTAAATCTCATATACAGTAGTTTGTATAAAGAATTTCAGAATTTGTAGAGGTCGCTTCTCCATACTATAACCTTTTCGAACTTTAGAAGTCCTGAAATTCTTCATACAAACTATTCTATATAAGACCTTGGAAATGAAGATAAGATCTGTATTCTTTTCATCTGTAAATTTCTTTCGAGTACAATCGAAGTATATTCAATATACTTAAATAGAAAAAAAAAATCATTCTTAGCAGACTTTTCTTTGTCGAATAAAATAGGAAATCGACAAAAACAAATAACATTACCGATTATTTTTCAATATCCTTTAAAAAAAAAAAACTTAATCATTTATTTTAAAAACAACAATACTATACAAGGACGAAGTATATATAAATAGTATGTGTATCAATGTAACCTTCATGCTTACATATGAAGCAAAACATTTACTATTTCATTAATATGACCTAATGTGTAAAAAAAAAAAGTGCTTATTCTATTTACTTGTAGCACGACCAATTTTGAATTGATCTTTGAATACGGATATTATATTATGATTGTTTAAATTTTTTAAACGATATAAAGCAGAATTATCCATTGAGAATATCTGTAAAAAAATAAACAATTATTAATTATATTTTAAAATAACCTTCAAAATTTAATAATTAGATATTCTTTTGAAAAAAAGTACTCGAGCGTAGTACACTGCCATCATTTTTACAAAAAATTGTCGTGTTGTCTTTTTTTTTTTCTTTCTTCTATTAATTGTCATTAGCTATTTTGACTTTACAACTGATTGACTGAAGAAAGGAAAAGAAAAGGATCCATATAAGGAAAGAAACAATAGCAATAACAACATACAGATGCAATAACACAATAAACAATACAATTTCATTGATTATCTAACCAACCAATTATATTCTACTTAAACATTTTACTTACTATAATTTATATTAATAAAAATTATTATAGAATACTTTTTATATTCTAAAATTTTTTTTAAAATTTTACAATAGATATCTATATAATCTAGTATAGGTTGTAAAACTGACCAATTAAATAAAATGTTCACATCAATTCAATATAAGTCTTTTTACATAAATGATATTAGAACTTATTTCGCAGTAATGGTATATCAGATTAATATTAATATTTAATTTGAAAATACACAACAGTAACGTAAGTAAAGTTAGCACCAGATTCGAGTTTTTATTGTCCGGATTCGCCCCTGGACTTGAGTTAATTTTGGTTCAACCTGAGTTATATGCAGAATTTTACAGTGAATCTGATGGTGTAAAGATCAAGGGGGGTCATCGAGCAAAAATCAACACTTGACCCCAAAACACTGTTTTTTTCAAAAATTTTCTGAAAGTTTTTGCTGTCCGGATTCGCTATGTTGCTTGAGTTGGATCTAAAATTGGTTGAGTTAGACTCAGCTCGAAATTCTGCATCGAATGATATCAATTTTATATGGGATCATCGGCGAAAAAATTTTCACTTCACTCAATCCCACCCCTCAGACGTCATTTCCACCCTCATCGAGTCGAAAAATGTTTTGTTCGATAACTCCATATAAAATTGATATCATTCGATGCAGAATTTCGAGCTGAGTCTAACTAAACGAATTTTAGACCCAACTCAAGCAACATAGCGACTCCGGACAGGAAAAACTCGAATCTGATGCTAACTTTACTTACGTACAACAGTCTATTAAGAAATTTCTTTTTTATTAGTCTACAATTGACCTAAAAAATCTCATGTAAATTTCAAAACTTCTACTAAGTTATGAATTGCCTTGTGTAATGAAAGAATTTAGGATGTATAATTGATCGAAAGACATACCATCGGTTGAACATGTCGAAAATCTTATCATTTGAAAAAGAAAAATAATAAGGATATACTTATACTTAACTGAAAAGCGTTTTATTTGTGTTATTAACGATCTCTGAATCGTACGTATCTTCTGTGACATTTTTTTTTTGAATTAAAATTTAAAAAAATAAGCCTACAATTTACAACTACATCAATGTATAAGGCAACAAGCTTCATACTTTTTTGCAACTCTACAGAATCTCAATAAATAGTCACAAAATAACTGATGAAATATCTTACTTCGAATTTTTAATAGAATTGACATATGTATATATATTTGTTTTTTTTTCCTTTAGATTTTTAAACATAATGGGTAGTGCTGTAAGTCGTGCAACACGATTTTTACGTATGTATAATATCGATAATCGAGTTGATAGAGTTCTTTCAAAAGAAAAACCAACTCCTGCTCCACGATATCCAACAGATCTACAAAATTTACAATCATCAAATGCTGAAAGTATAAATATTTTTATATTCAATTAATTAAATATATTTCTTCTTCTTTTTTATTTTTGTTTTTAAGGTAATATTGCACCTGAAACAATACATAATAAAGATCAACAATTATTAAAATATTTACGTGATGTTAAAATTTATTCAACTGGTGATAATCCAGTAATACATCGACGTGATGATACAAGTAGTCATCCAACAATTCCTCCATTATTAAATCGTCTTGAAGAATCAATAGATGAAAAAAGTACGGATGGTGCTTTTGGTTATGTTGAACCACAACGTATTCCACCAGGTCGTATATCATTACGTCAATTTCTTACTTATCTTCAAAAACATCGTGATTCACCAGAAGAATATTCAATTGATCGTTTTGTTGATATGTATACAATTAAACCAGAAATAGCCCAAAAACTTTTTAAATATCATAATTTATTAGCATTACAAGAATTTTCTCGACAAAAAAGTAAAGCATCAGCAAGACCACCACATCTTGCAGCAGTTGAAGTTATGGGTATTGAAGCTGAAGCAACTAGAAAACCAGGTCCTGAAAGAGGCATTACTTCAAAATTTTAAAATTTCCTTCTGTATGTTTTCTTATAGCAAATAAAAGAACGTAGTAGTATTTTTAAAAAGAAATATGTAAACGACTTGTCCAGCTAACACGGTCACTCAGCATTATTAAAGTTAAAAGTTGCAATCTCATTCTGAGCACAATTAATTGTGTTCAATTCAAGTTTTCGTACATTCTGCGTCGATCTATCTGGTTTATCTTGAAAGATTTTGAGAAGGAACAGTAATTGCCAGCCAAAATGAAGCATTTTTGTGTAAAAATTCACTTTTTTCTCTTATCATATCTCGATCAATGTCTTGACTTTGATCAAAAATGAAGATGTTGCTAGTGATTTTGATGCTAAATCTACAGTTTGACATGAACAGATCATTTCCTGTTTTTTGTGAAGATTGTTAGAATAGCGTTTTTAATGAGTTCTATAAAGTTGAGTGAGTGCGTTACCGCAATAATCAGTGTGTAGGACAACATTTTTGAAAATGTCTTGTTTTCAATAGATAGTTCAGACTGTCTACTACAAACTTGTTCTCGATCATATGTCGTTCTAACGTACGCATTTGCTGAAAATGAATCATCTCCGATAGCACCCAAAAAAAAGAGGACCTTTTTGTGTGAGTGTGTTACCGGCATGTATTTTTGCTTGTAAAATGTGAATTATAAAGTGAGTTGAAATGAAACTTTTCTACATTAAATAACTTGATAGTATGCATCTATGCACCAAATTTCAGAGTTCTGCATTTAGTTATTTGAGAGAAATTAAGATAGTAAGTTATCAAAATGTGAGTGCGTTACCTGCGAACAAGTCCTAAAACAAAAAATTTCAAATCAATCAAACAAAAGAAAAGCATATATATTAAATTTGTTTAGATGGTAAATAGCAGTCTTGAAATCATATTACTTATTTGCTAACCAACTTGATATTCTTGTTTATCATTTTAATCAATGAAAATATTGTTTATAATCAGTATGAGATAACGATCGAATCAAAATAGGATTCAGTTTGATTCGTGTTTGTCTTTGAAAAATTAGTTTAGATTGGATTTGACTCGAGTAGTCTCAGTTTCTCTTAATCATCAGTAGATGAAAGGTTAAAATTTCATTCTCGAACGATTAGAATGTCACATTAAAGTTGATATTGATGTGTCTTCTACACCACAAGAACAGAATCTGTTGTTGTGCACGAACGCATAGTTGGAAAAATTTTTCTCATGAACGAATCATCCCAACTGATGATACCCGTTATTTGAACTCACTTGGTTAGACAAACGAAAATCTAAAAAGGTTCGTGTTTATAGACTTTTGAACCCAAGTTAGGATTGTTTTACTGAATTTTGACGTAACATTTTGCTCATACATAGGTCTAATATTGTATAGCATATGTTGAAATTTTCAAACCGAATGAATGCTTCTTTGTTGAGATATTGAATTTTTGAGTAAACTTGATAGTTTTGACATTTTGTTTTGAAAATTCAATATTTCGACGACAGAACATTCTTTTCGACTAAAATTTTTAGAGCATTCTAATTATTATTCGACCTATCTATGGATAAAATTTTACGTTGAAATATTCTTTTTTTTGATCTTCCGGTATATATCCCTAAAACTAGGTCTAAAGAATCCAGTAAAATGATCCTAACTTGGCTATCAAAGCCTACGAACACGAACCCTCTTAGATTTTTGCTAGTATAATCAACCTCAAACAGCAGATATCAGTTTGTAGGAACTCTTGAGTCTATGAAAATTCTTTGAGTTGTTTTCTCTTTTTATAATAGATTCTGTAAATCTCTATACGAAAGCGTTCATTAAAATCAAATATTGAAAAAAACAAAGATTCACTTTTAATTATGAAGAAAATAATTCTTACATGACTGTTGTCAAATGTGTTTAAATTAATAAATCTTGATCATGGTCACATCGTATTTCGATGACTTGTGAATAGATATAATTTTCAGTTAAAGCTATTTCTGTCTACTCCTTATATATACAGACGATAAAAGACTAATAAATTTTGTTAAGTTAAATGAACTATATATTAAAATCGATAATTTTTCTTAAATATAAACGATTCATTTTTGTAAACAAATAATATTATGCAATAAAATTAACATAAAGACATTTTGATTTCAATCATAAATATTAACATATATGAATCGATAAAAACATCATATGTATAAAATTTAATAACTATGCAAGATATTAAAAAAAAATTAAGAATATCATTCCATCAAAAATAACGTACAAACAAGAAATAGAAAGTTTCATATTTTTAAATGTGTTTTTTCTTATTTTTCGGACATCAGTTCCCATGAATTCTATTAAGACCGATAATTATAGATTTACTTCAATCTGTTTACAAAACTGATTTACATGTTAATCTTATCTTATCATACTATAGGATAATATTACTGAAAATTTGTTTGATGTTGATTTAGTTTTGTTTATGAAATATTTACTTGTCTAAGTATCAGATTCATTCATCATATACAATAAACAAAATTCTTTTTATGAAACTTTTCTTTCTTTTTTTTTTTAAAATCTTTGTATCTAAGATAAATGAGCCTCTTAATATTTTACGAATATACACTACAATGTTCCAAAAATGGATCGCTTTCAAAATATTTGTTTTTTACATTACCAATTTTGCGCGATTCTTGTAACTGTATATAAAGAGACTATGTTGTAGTTCACGAAAAAATTCTATCAGTTCAGTGCATATTTTTTCTTTATTTGCATTTTGAGAATCTTCTCTGAAAGTTTATTGTGTTATGTTAAATGGAAAATTATTACTCTATCAATTTTGATACGAGCAATATTTTTTTTTACACTGCTTAGGATGTATAACGGGAATAAAACGATGATTCCAACTCGTTTTCTAAAAAAGATTAACTCCCTGGAATATCAAAATTATATTTGAATATATTCTTATCAGCTCTATTAGAAAGAATACACATGAAATCATTAGTTTTATAAAAAATGAACATTTGAAAATGGACAATTTTGAAGCATTGTAATGTTTGTCGGATATAACTTCATAGCTATTCATTGGAAGAGTTCTTTTGATAAGATTTTTCTAGAGAATTGCACGAGCTATGTTTTAGAAAAAAAAACAAGATTCAAGTATATACATTATAATTTGAGTGAGATATTCACAAAAATATTAAGAGACTCATTTATTCTGGATATGTATATTTGTTGAAAATGTCCCATGAAAGTTTCTTTATTTGAAAATTTTTGAAAAACATATCTTATATATGAAAGTGATGAAAAAGAATTGTTAACATATTGATTATTTTGGAAATATTTACTATAAATTTTTTTCTTGAGTGACTCTCCTTCATGATATTTTAGGTGAACGAATAATCATAAAACTTTGAAGACAGATAGATTTTGATGAATGAAGCAAAAATCGTTATATACTCAAAATTTTCAAATGCATCCTTCTATGATATAAAGGATAAACATTACTGTTCTAAAATTAAAATTTGAACAAAAATAAAATCCATTATATAAAGTACTCAACTGCCCTAGAAGAAAGTTCTGTCTATTTTAGATTTATACGTTAATATTTATAGTGAAGTTTCTATTTAAAAAAATGAACTAGATAACTCATAATCTTCAATATTATAAATAGTTTTTGAATATAAATTCAATCTCTAATTTAATTTAATGAATATTATTCGTATTTCACTTATAAGCTTTCATCTATTAACAATAGAGATCAATATATTGCGTTTCTTACTCAGAGCGTCTTTTTTCCTTTAATGTTTTTTTTTGTCACTATGTGTTCATTTTTCCTTTCATATGAAAAGAAAACGAAATATATTAATAGTACGGAATGCAAAAAAAAGCCGACTCTTGATATTAAAATATAACTAAAATATTTATTTATAATTACAAAAGATCTAAATTATATACCAACAGTAACAATATTGAATGTGCAAATATATACAAAAATAATTTTATACAATATTACAATTCAAAACTTGAAATGAAACAATAGTTATTATTTTCCACTTATATGGAATCATTTCGCATGGTAGTAATCTTCTGTGTGCTCAAAAATAAAATAAGCTTTCCACATTTTGTCTTGTTGAATTATATATAGAAAGCTGCAATTTTTGATGGGCGTTCTTCTGATACTAAAAGGTGTTTAGGAGGAAATTGCTCCAGTATAATTTCAGAGCAAAGATATTTAAAAAATTTCATACAAATGATCGTTTTGGTCTATTTTTTTTTGAGTTAAAAATAAGACAGTATAGACTCTTTAGACATGATTTATATTTGAGAACCTTGCTCTATCATAGCGTATTTAACAGATCTAATCAAGATACGTTAATTAACACTAAAAAAAAGTGAAATCTTCAATAGTAATATACGTTGTCCTAAAGAGTTACATAGAATTCTCTAAAATAGCATCTCAACGCGAATTTATAGATCCCTTCATATCTCTTAGTAGAATTTTTAGAAAGAGCTACAAATTTAGATTTGCACATAACTTTTCTGCAGACTTTCGAATGGTATAACTTATTTCAAAATCAAAATTTGTCGTATGCATGCTTGGTCAGTGGTGTGATGAATCCTTGCTTAAAACTAAATTTTCAAATATATTATAAAAGAAATAGTTTCATATTAGTAGAAAATAACAACTATTGTTTCATTTTAAGTTTCGAATTGTAAGATTGTATAAAATTGTTTTTATACATGTTTCAGGCAAAATTAAACTAAGCTTGAAAGACTTGTTATTTTAACAGAACTTTTAAAAAAATAAAAGAAAACTTGTCTATTTTTGTGACTATAGAATTTGACAGAACGTAGAGTTCGTAAGTTGTATTCTATACAAATTAAACTAAGTCTAGGAAGATGTAGAGTTCGCTAATATATTCCACTGACATTGAGCTGATTGTAACCAGCCCGACCAAAAAAAAGGAAAGGATGTTCTTTATAATCAAGCATCAATTCTCATCGATACCTAACTGCTTCCCTTCGAATACAGTATGGTTCATAGATAATATGCAAACAATATAGAAGATGTTATTATGTTTTACCGAGTCCTATCGAATCCAACAAACTATCAAAAGACTTTAATTTATGTCTTCTCATAATGTAATAGTAACGATATTCACTCGGCGATTAATACTCAATAAATATGTTAGTTTGTCTGTTTTTAAAAATAGTTCATTCTCAAAAGAGATATAATTTTCCCATATGAATTGCTCTAAGTAACAACAAAGAGAACGATTATCTGTAGTTGCTTAGTTCTAGTTTTTGGGTATTGTGTTTAATGGCTATTCAATCTTGCAGAACTACTTCTACATCTTCATAGCTATTTACATACTTATTACCTACTCCATTCACACTACTGATTTTTTTTTTGAGCAGAGGGCAGTGAAGACGCTTATGGATTGCCACAAATCTGCTAGATAAGTATTTCTCTTACCCAAGGTAACGGTCATTGGTCGTTATACTTCGCTTGTATGACATCTTCCTGAACTTCGTACCTTCTTTTTTTTTGTTTCCTCATGTGTGACTATTTCTAGAGCAGTTGAATTTAATGAAGAGAAGACACAGTTTTGATTGTGCAAGACGAAATTATGTTAAAAAAGACATCGATACTCAATCGTACAGTCCACCACACACAGTAGGATTTTAAGATATTAATATAAAAATAATGCAACTAGTTATAAAGCCTTGTTAGCAGTTTATTTCACGTTATCGTTCGTATTTGTCGTGAGGTATTTTCATGATTTGTTTACAAATCTGTGGATAAGAAGGCACTGAAGACGAAGCAGAATCTGGTGTTCGATTACTTCCAAAAAGTATGAATCGATGAGAAATGAACATAATAAGTTTATTTAATTAAAAAACTAAGTGCGTTCTATTTTCTTAATCAAAATGAAAACTTCAATTCATTTTCATATTAAAGAAAATAATTTCTTCAGTTCGCGTCCAACTATAAATCAATTTTACCTAGGACATATATTTGCACATTCACTATTGTTACTGTTGGTATATAATTTAAATTTTTTGTAATTATAAATAAATGTTTAGTTATATTTTAATATCAAGGGGGTCAGTTTATTTTTGCACTCAGTACTATCTATTGTTAGTGGATGAAGGTGTATAAGCGGATTGGAAATAACGTACATTTTAATATATAATTATTTTTCTTCTTGTGATTTCATAATAGGATCAAATGTATTTTTAATTAAAATATTTTTTTTTTAATATAAATAATTTAAAAGAGATCATATGTTTTTTCTGTAATATATAATGATACTTCATAAAAGAATGTTAGACATTATCATATATGTCCGTAAACAATACATAAAAAGTACAATGAATGCTTGGATTATTATCAATATTTTTTTAAATATTCTTACATTAATTAATTCAATTTTAACAATTGTTATTTGTTTACTTATTCTCTTGTTAATTATAATTTCTCATCGACAAACTCGTTCTGTACCAGTTTTATTAGCTGGTCATACATGTTCAACTTTACTGATTTCTGCATTTATGTTAGGAAGTATGGCTATGGTCAGTTTATTTGGATATATGAATATTGTTCTTGAACAACATGGAAATACAATATGGTGTCGTTTACGAGGTTTTTTTATTCATGGATTTCTTTGTGCTCTTTATGATTCATATGTTATACAAGCAACATATCGTTTTTGTCGAGTTGTATTTTATCGTCGTAAACATTTAATTAGTTTTCCTCTTTATTTACTTTTTGTACCTATTGAATCATTATTTGGTGTTGTGAGTATATCACCTGTTCTATTACGTGGTGATGTTGTTTATCTTTCATCTGAATATTATTGTCAAACACCATTTACAAATATTCCAGCTATTGTTTATATAGCTATTCGTCTTTTTTTATTACCAATTTTATTTATTACATTAATTTATGTATGTTTATTAAAATATGTTCATCAAACAAATTTATCATTAATAATAATAAATAATAAACGTCATCGACGTTTAAAAAAAAATAAAAGAGATTTAATTGTAATAAAAAGACTTCTTATAATGTTAAGTATTCTTATTCTACTTGGTTTACCATCAATTATTTTTTTAAGTATTTTCATGTTTACTGGTCATCTTATATGTGTAACATATCGAATTGGATGGTTATCTGTATCATTTTCACTTGTTTTTCTTGCTTATATGCTTATTAAAATGACTGATCCATTGAAGAAAACTGCAAGACAATATTTTAAACGAAATTCTCATCGATAAAATCAAGGTCAAGCAATTATATGAACGACAAGTATCATTACATGATCCATGTTGCTGATATTTCTTTTTTAAACTCTGTTAAATTAATATATATAATTATATCCATTGAATTATGAAATATTTCTATTCGGTTATTTTTGTAGAACGATGAAAAAATCTACCAATTCAACCTGAATTATTATTAACGATTCATTAAAGTACTTAAAAGAAATAACATGACAAGAACTTTTCTAATTTAAATATATAAAATCATCTTCGTTATGATAGAAATACTAAGTGAAATCGTAAATATTACAAAAACAAACATTACACAATACTGTTTTTACATTTATTAAACACAAGAAATATTGCTAAAATCTTCTTATATAACATTAAAACAACTATTATATATTTTAATTTCAGAACAATTATTTTTAGATTTAAAAAATCATTTTTCAGTAAATATATACAGTGAATAATTATCATTTTTTTAAATTATTGAAAAACAATTCTCGTTGGATATAAAAAGAAATAAATGAAATCATTCTAAGATTGAAATTTGTTCAGTGAAAAATGTTATATAATTGAGTTCTTGCATCATTAGATATTTATTATCTTGTTCTCTTTTATATTGATTTGTTTTCAATAATTATCTCATGTAAATATAAAGCATATGCTTCAAATATTCACAATCTTTGTGTACATCTATGGATACATTTTTCCTTATTTATAGAGAGATATGAATTGAGTGCAAAAGCTTATAACATAATAAAACTAACTACTAAATAGTTTCCAGGCAGACAAAAATTTCTGAAGATGCGTTCAAACATCTTAATCGTAGTTTCCATTTGAATGTTTTCACATTCATTCAGACAACATTGAAACCAACTATCTTGATCATAAAAGGTATGTTCAATCGTTCAAAAAAACGCAACTTTTATCCAAAAGATTTTTGACATATACTAAACATAAAAATCTGCAAAATGCATCAAAATATAGCGGAGAAAAAATAAAAAGTTTGTACTTTTTCCAGATGTAAAAGTTACCTTTTTTAAATATCTTTACGTAACTTTTATAATTAAAGTAGTTGGTTTTAGTGTTGTGCTGAATAGATGTGAAAACACTCGAATAGAAACCGTAATTAGTAAAGTTTAAATTCATTTTTAGATATTCTTATCTGCTTGAATTGAAAGTTTTCTAAAGAATATTATTGCAAATATTTATCCGAGTTCGAATCTTATTTGATATATATCTAATTCTTTCAAACTGTTGACAAACAGTAGGAAACATTACAAAATAAACTCAAGAATTTGTTATACTGAAACATATAGTTTTCTATTAAATGAAACTTATATTTCTGCATTTTTTGTAGTTCTCAATAAGACAAATAGAAAGAGTCTATTTGATATAGATTTATTTCATATAGTATAAGAATTTGGAACAGAAATACTTGAATTTTATTATAAGTATTCGTCCTAACTGTAATATTCATTACATTTAATCATATATTTTAAATGAAATCTTTTTCTTTTTGTCTGTTTAGATAATGAATAAATGAAAAGATATATTAAATTTCTATAAATAAATTAATAATTAATTTTTCAGGCTTTTTTTTTATTAACAGTCTCTTATAATCAGATAATTAACTGATTGTAATAGATTTTTTTTTATTTTTGAGTACTGTTTAATTAAATTTCACATGAATATTGAAGAAATACTAGTCATAAAATTTCGAAGAAGAAGAAGAAAAGAAAAATTCGTTTGAATAAAATGTCATTGTGTTGATATTTTACGTGTATCTATATCATTACCATCACCAATAACTGTCATATGTTTAGTAAGTACTTTACGTGTTGTTTGTATTGGTTGTTCTTGTTTTTGATATAAATCATTTTGTGTAACTTGTTCATGAATATTTTCTAATTCAACTGTACGATGTAAAGGAGCAAAATTAAGTTGTTGTGATGATGATGATGATGGTAGTGGTGATGGTGGTTCAGTTGACATTAGCTGGTTACTTGTTTTACACTTGGAGTTTGTATCTATGTTGATTCTTTATATGACTGAAAATAATTTTTGTTTTTCATGAACGGAAAACGCAACGACAGAACAATTCTTTTTTGCTTTTTCCTTTATTATGTCCGTTTTCTCGGAGTTCTCTTTACGATTGCCATACTGTTTTACTCTTACTACATTTCATTTAATAATACTAAATTACTTCCTTTTCCTTTTCTCTATGAATGAGCTGACATTGCTTACCATAATCAACTAATGACAGAGCTTTTCTTTTTTTTTTTTTTAAAAAAAAACAACTAATCAATCTTGTTTTTGTTTTTTGTTGTTGCCTTTTTAATAATGATAAACATTGAGTTATATATGAATTCATAGATATTATTCGATTGTATTTACATGATTTGAAAACGATCCATCAATGTACGTTAGATAGTAGAAAAGATAATGCTTATTGATGTGAAATAGACCGTAGAACAGGAAAAGAATACAGGAAATGAATAAAATAAATGAAAATGGAAAGAATATAGAAGAAAAACAAAAAAAAAGAGTTATGAAAAATACTCCATAACATCTCGACATAGAAATTACAATATACTTATCAAATTAAAGGGTAGTAAAAAAAAAAAAGACAACAGCAAAATATAATTGATAATAATAGAAGAATCGAGAAACTCGTCAAGAGATGTTACCTGTGATTGTTAAAGTGATTTACTAATGAGTAACAGTTAATGATTTAAAATGGGGTTTTAATCATAAGTTTAAAATAACGCTGTAGCTTCGAATTGAAGAAGGAAAATTTAGACGTTTAAATGTTTTCTTAAAAAGATCTGGGTTTTTCTTTTCATCACATATTATACGTCAAATTCTAAATATATACCTGTGAAATGTGAATCATTTGTTTTTTTGGTTGATTTAGCTATCTCTCAAAGGACAACAATATCAAAAATAAGGTTTAATATATATTTATCGAAATTTAGATATAAAGTTGATTGTATTATTGATGAATTTTCTGAATCTAATCATCGTCTGTATATTGATTTTTATTGCTCATTCTTTTGTTTTATTCTACATCGAGAAAGTATTTCTTAGAAATCGATACAATCTTACTTCAACTATGAATCTGCTAGTTTATGATAGTCAACTGTCATTTAGACATAGAAAGCAATAGTCTGTAGACTAGAATGTGAATATAAATGCATTCATTATATTGAACACTTTTGATCATAATAACATCACAATACAAGTTTTTGTTTTTGTTTTTTATCAACAATTTCTGTCATATATATATATTCGAAAAGATGTTAGTAATCTATCATTCTACTATGATCTTTATAGTAATTAATAATTATAAAGAGTACAAAAGACTTCTTAGACTCGTATGAATTATATAAGACCTTTAATAGATATAAATTTATTTCATATGAAATGTTTCTTTTATGAATAGTAACATACTCCTTCCCCTCCCATCTTCATATATTGCAAAATCACTGCTTTTTTTTAGCTCCTGTAGACTTCCAGCTATTAAGAAAAAGTTTCTTTGGATTCTTTTTTCTACAGATGCAATTTAAAATTAAACAAAAAACAACTATACACTCTACAAGACAAAGCAAGTTTATCGTGACATGTTAACATTTCTGTTTAGTAATAGTCTTCAGAAATGAATCATTCCTATATGCTAAGAAATAAAGAAAAAAAGATGTTTCAAAATAGTTCGAAAAAATAATAATAAAAAAATTTTATAATTCATAGTATAAAGAATAAAGTATAACTTTACACTAAATATAAACAAGAAATAAAATCATCAAGGACGACATAAACTATCAAAATTTTTCTTTTTTTTTTACAATTTGAAATGATATTGTAAATGAATAGTTCAAACTTAGTAATCAGAATCAAACACTACGAAATATATTTTCAAAAGAACAAACAATCACACATGAAAAAAAAAAAAGAAACGACTAATGTATACCATCTCATATAAAAGATTCAATTGATTATTACATACCGGCTGGTGAAGCAGAAAATATTAAGAAAACAAAATTGAAAAATATACAAAAAAAAACAATTTACAGAACTTCATCTAGGAATATGAAAAGTACGGTTTTTGTTTTTTAAATAAAAACACTTGCAACCATATCATTAATATAGCAATTAAATTGACATTTTACAAATTATCACTCAAAACAAAGAACATAAAAAAGAAAATAGGAACTACTAAAAAAAGTAACAAAATAATTTATTAAATACAATAACATGTAATTATCTTTTTATTTAACAAAATTTCTCATGTTTATTAATCACTAGTTTGCTTAACAATTTTTTTCATTGAAAATTCAAATAAAATTTTTAACAAAAAAAAACTACTTTATATTTCAAATGATTCTCAATGAAAAAAGAAAAACTATCAACATATGTTTTATGCATTTGACAGAACTTCCCCAGATCAATACTAAAAAAACATCTGTTGGACAGATTTTTAGTTCCCATAAAATTTCTCTCGATGGGAACTACAAGTCGCCTTGTTCATTGATTTTTTTCTTGCAATCAAAAATAAAAAAAAATAATAATTTGTTTTTTCGTTACACAATCAAAACTTAATAACCGTTTCTCACGTACAATATGATTGAAATAGAGTATTGCACTTCCCCAACGTACATATCATAGAAATTTTTTTAAAAATAGTATCACGTATATTTACTATAGTATTCACACTCATAAAGAAAAGACTAAATAATTACAAATTGAGTCACTTCGTCAATGTTCTTTTTTTTTCTTTTTATATCGAAACAACGAAATATCTCCTCTCATATGTTATCATTCTATGTCAGTAAAAACAAAAAAAAAACACAAAATTTCTTTTTTTTTTTTTTTCTTTTTCTCCTCGAACTGTCGGTGATTATTATTAACGTCCAGAGTAAATTTTCAAATTTTCTTTTCGTACTTACTCACAGAAAATGAAACGCGAAAAAAAAAGGAGAAAAAAAATTGTAAGGACAAAAAGAACATAGAAAAAAAAACATACCTTTAATATTCATTCGTAACCTTCAACAAAAACTATTGTAGATTTGAACGTTCTTTTTTTCTTCGTCTTCTTGTTCTCAATGAAATACAAACAATGTAAGTAAAAAAAAAAAAATACTAATTTAAAATAATCTATATATTTTTTAAAATAGTATATCCAAAATCTGCTCGATCAACCGAATCATCAATGAATATTAATCATCAACGTAAACGTTGTTTATTATGTGATTCATTACTAAAAAGTCATCGGTATTTACTAATGGGTAAATCTATTCAAGAATCTATCATAATTAATAATAATAAAACTATAACGTATGCTGAATGTTGTCAAAAATATTTAAAGAAAACAAATGGATTTAATAAATTACATATAATATGTTTAAAATGTTGTGATAATTTACAACATCTTCATTCATTACATCTAGATGCTGAAGAATTAACTAAAAAATTACGTCAAACATCATTTAAAACGAAACGTTTAAATCATATTCGTCATTCTCATTCGAAAATCGATACAAATATTGAAATTAAAGAAGAATCATTATCAGTTGAATTAGTATCAGAATCTGTTATTTCAAATAATCCCTATATACATTATGATACTGCACAACATGTAAATAATCTTTTATATTAATTAATTTGTATTTCTTTTTTTCAATAATTTAATTTTTCTTAGATGCAAATATCAAATATTCCAAGTGTTCGTTCAGCATTTGTTCCTCCTCCACAAATATTTTCAAATGAACATCAAAACTATTTATATCATCATTCAATGAATAATGTGTCTTCAGTATGATTGATAAATTATTAATGAAAAAAACAAAAATAAAATTATTGTTTTTCTTTTTTTTTTATTCGGAACTTTTAGTTACCCTACGCCCAATTTCTGATTGAATCACCTATGTCAACAAATTTTTCTCATCAACAACAAGAGAATGATTCAAATAATCAACAATTATCGCTCGGTTTGTTTTCGTTCTTTTGTGTTGTGTCTAATTCAGTAAACGAACTTAAAAGTACTTTTTTTTTTCTTTCGTCTAACGCGCTTGGGCAAATATATACTTTCTCCATGATTTCTAGACAGTGGGAATTTTCATGCTGGAAAGCAAACATTTCACGAAAGGGTTTCTCTCCACTTCAGCGGATGCCCTCAAGGTATAAGACTTTTTTCTTTTTTTTTTTAATAAAGAGAGAAGACTTATATCTGACTGTACACTTTTGAATTATTGATAGATATAAGAATATTCATTCATAAAAAAAACAAATTTCAAAGAATAGAAATTTAATTTATTCTATATATATATAATTAATTAATAATATATAGAAATATTAATTTATATTTACAGATGATGATCGATCACTTTCACCATGTACAAATGATGATGAAAATGGCTCAAAAAATACTCGTTTAACTCGTCGTCAATATGAATTTTTAACTAAACTACCTGATCAACAATCATTAAATGCTTTTATTGAAGCATCATCATCAGAATCAAATTCTCGTTGGACATGGCGTCGAACATCAGCTAATTCACGTGGATATAAAATTTATTATGTATGTAATTTTTCAATGCGTCGTCATTATCATCCATGTCCTGCTGCAATGTATGCACTTTTTAATCCTGAAGGAACAATATCAATTTATGCACATGGACAACATCAACATATTCCAAAAAATCGTCTTCCTTTAAGTATAACTGATGAAAGTAAAGATGAAATATTTAAATGTTTACAAACAGGTATGTCATCAAGTGATATACGTGAACATTTAATTCGTCTTCAATTACCATTTGGTGATACAAAAAAATTAAATAATTTTATTAAATATCATAAAGAATTATTACGTTTTGGTGCTGTAACTAATGTTAGATTAAATGGTAGTGCTTATCGTCAACCACAATTTTGGGCTATTCGACGAACATCACCAACAAATACAAATACAACAGTAACATTATAGAAAAATTTTATTAGACAAAAAAAGAAATCTTCAGTTTGAATCAAATTTTTTTTTTTTTAATAATATAAAATAAAAATGGAGGATGTACTTTTTTAATAAATTAATATTTTTGAATTTCTTAATTATATTTTTCATTCTATTCTATTTTATACAAGAAAAAGTACATGAATATTTACATGACTCGAAATGAAACACGAATTCTTCATATTTTTTTTTTTTTTTTTTTGGATTTTAAGTTCGTATTTCAAAACGAAAAAATAAGAACATATATTTTTGTTTACTTTGTTTCTGTTCCAATTTTTTCGACACACATTGAATAATCTTAAAAACTCTATATCCGATCGTCGTTTGCAGAACGGAAAAAAAAATACTTTTTTTCTGTTGCTTTTTATGGAGTTAAATTCATTTTGAAATGTTCTCTTTTCCTTTCTTTTAACTTGAAGTGGTGAAGAGGTTGATCTCGAGACTTATTGCGTAGCAAATAAAAAAAAAAATATTACTTTATTGGAACAACAATGGCTGAATTCTTTGTGAGGACATATTGAAATCAGTGTCAAATTAATTATAACTATTGAATATACAATAGTCAATTTGTTTTAAAAGAAAAAATATATTTTCGAACAGTTAATTTTTAGATTATTACTCATAAAATTTTGAATACTACTGAGAAACTCGTTCTATTACGCATTTGATTTTCGGTCTTTCGACTGTTTGGATTCTTATGTAAATACATACGAACGTTAAACTTTGATAAAAAATAAAAAATAAAAACATCGAAATAAACTGTTTTTTTGTTTGTATTTTCATAATAATAGTTTGCTTATAGGAAAAATTAACACATAGAAAATAATAGAATATGAATTATTTATTACAAGTTATTATTATTTGTATCCTATAATCATGTTCTTTTTCTAATAATAGACAAACATGGTTAATTAAATAAATAAATGAAAAGATATGTTGTTAGTTTGTAATGTTTACATAGGTTTCTTTTTTTCTATATCTCGCTTGAGAAAAATTTAATCTGATATAAAAATAAAATTGAAAACAAAATGCATTGTAATATTAATTGCCTAAATTTATGTTATTTTGAGTAAAGAAAACGCAAAATAGAGCATTGATGTATTTTTTTTTTCTTCATTTGATGTATATATTAGCATTTGTATCGTTATAGAGTTTTCTTTTTTTTTCTTATATATTTCTTTTTCGTATCGAACTATGTCTCATTGTCATGTTGTATATGAGATCCCGATCATCATCATCTTCTTCTTCTTTGTCAATGAGGATGCTAAAAAAACTGATGACGGAAAGAAATCTTCACTGAAGAGGAAAAATGTTATTCACACGCGCGAGCATTAATATTTTCTCTTCATATTTTCTCTTGGCGTTTACTAAATATACGAGTTGATCGGAATGCACATCATCAACGAACGACAGTGAATGACCGATAAAATCGAGTTGCTGTCATTACTAATGCAAAAAGAGAATATAAGAATTTTGAGACTTTATATCTATTAACATTTTCTTTTCTCTATTTACTATATAAGTATATGCATGTCTCTAGTGAACTCCTTTTTACAGATGTTCTTTTCTTTTGTATCAATTTTATAATGTCTTCACATGTATTCCCAATGTTGTATGTTTTTTATTATGATTATCTTGATTAATGCGAATCAAGAAAACAATTCAATCGTTTTATATATTGGTGGTTTATTTAATTCTGATAATTCATTCGTAAATAATGGTCAATATGATTTACAAATTGCTCAAATGGCTATTGATGAAATTAATCTACGTAATTATGATCTATTCAATGGTCGTTATACTTTGACTTTACTATCGAATAATTCTAAAGTATAAGAAAAAAGAAATAAAAGAGAAGATTGTTTTTTGTTTTTTTTTATAAATATTATTGTTTAGTGTGATCCAATTTATGCTGTTGATGCTTTTTTTCATGCAATATTTCGTTGTCCTCAATTACTTTTTCTTATCGGTACATCATGTTCAAATGAAACAAAAGCTGTAATTCAAGTAGCTGATTATTACAATCTTATTCTTGTGAGTAATATCTTTTATTTAAACTAATAAACATCCGTTCTATATAATATTACTACGGAAATGAATATATTTATATAATATAGTTTTCACATTCAACTTCATTTATCTCACAAGCAAATCAAACATATTCAACACTTGTTCGTCTTTCTGTATCAGATGAAAATTATAATGATGCACGTGTTGCTTTTATTAAATATAATAATTGGTCACATGTAGCTATTCTTCATCAAGATTCAATTGAATATTCTCTTGTAAATGTGTTTCTTTTCTTTTTTTTTTTCTGTTGTTTTAATTAATAAAATGATGTCTATTTTTCTTTGTTTTCATTTAAAGATGATGGCTAAATTAGCTAAACGTTTAAATGAATCAAATATTAATGTTATTCTAACACAAAGTGCGTCTATGACTAATCTTACGTCAGCACTTCAAACACTTCGAGTAGGTTCAATTAATTCTATTATATGAATATTCTAACAAAAAAAAAAAAAAAAAAAAATTGTGTTTTTTTTAAGGAAAAAAAAGCTCGAATTGTATTTGTTAATTTTGATACATCATCAAGAGCTATATTCTTTTGTGAAGTATATCGAACATTTACTAAATCATTACGTGAACGTTATGTATGGATATTAACTGGAAATGATTATCATTTATGGAATTTATCAATAAATAATTGTACAAAACAAGAAATCATTAATTCAGCTCGTGGTCATATTATAATTGATAGTTCATATGAAATAAAACCAAGTTTAATTAATCCAAATAGGGTTAGTTTAATAATAACAAATAAAACAAAAAAAAAATAATTTATCCTAAGAAAAATAAATAATATTTTATTTAGACAGCACAACAATTACAAAAACATCTTCATTTAAATGATCATCTTGATAGACAAACATTACATGCTTATGATGCTATTTGGGTTATTGCTTTACTTATTCAAGCATCAATTAAAAAACAGTTAAATAAAATATATATTCATTATAATATTTATAAATTGTTCCTTTTTTTCTATTGATTTTTAGAATAGAAATTGAAAAATTCACTTATAGTTCAACAGATACGAGAGATCAATGGTTAACTTTATTAGAACAAATCTATTTTCATGGAGTTTCTGTAAGTAAACATGTACATACATCTTAATGAAGAGAAATCGTGATAATACCAATAGAGTATTTCAAATCGAAATATGCTTTGCTATCAAGGCGCGTATTGTCCAAGGTCAAAAAATATAAGTCATATACGATTACCAGAAATATAAACATTGTATTTTTATCTTAACAGATGATCGAAAAGTTCTTAGACAAGATGTCTATTTATTTTTGATAAGTCAAACGTTATGAATTAGGATATTCTTTTTGAATACAGGCTCAAAAGTTTTATCTTAGTTTTTATTTGAGAGTAGTGAGCGACTTTTTTGAAAGATCTAAAAAATTATTTTTTAATGATGAACTAACAGGTTTACTCTATAAGCTTCTTTTCGAGCATATTAAAAATTGAATTGTCTTGTTACAAGACAAAAAACAAACTTCAAATAGTATATTTTGTAGTGTAGATTCTGATCTATAAGTTGATATATAAATAAAAATTCTAAGTTTTTGGTTTCGAATCGCAATAGTAAAAATACAAACATTTTAAAACTAACTTTTTTTGACCTTTTCAAAGGTTATTTCACTGAGACAAAATTTCTAAGTTCATATTCAAAAAGAGCACAAAAAATTACAACTTTTGACTTATTGGAAATACTTTTATCTTGTCTAAAAACTTTTCGATTACCCTTTATTTTCCGGCTCGAGGTCTCAAGACAATGATTACAATCGCCGAAACAGCCAAAAATGACGCTCTATATTATTGTTTCATCGGCATCGTATTTTATCATGCCGTACACAGTTGATAACAGTCGTAATATTGTTCCTACCATGATCATAAAAGTTCATAGCTCAGAGATGAACCTTTACTGATGAAGAGAGGGTCCCGAAGTATGACTCGCCAAGTGAACTGATATTTTGCTCATCAGCAGGCTCTGACGAGAGCAATAGAAATCTGTAAGAGTTTCTTCTCAATTTATTACTATTTTATCTCTGACAAAATATCAGTTCAATCGGTGATTCATACCCCTTTTAAGTAAGATAAAAGTTTGTTAAGGTTATAATAAACAAGTTCTAAATAAATCGATAGGGTCCTGTTTCATTTCGAAATCGGCAACGACATGCAGAAACTCTTATAAGTCAATTTCAAATCGATTTAACACAACAACAACAACAACAAATTCAAACTATAGCTGAATATTCACATGTATTAGGGCTGAATACAAAATGTTCAATATGTCAAACATTAATTTGGTCAGGTAATGAATAAACTTAAAAACAAAAAAATATATTTAAAAAAAATTTAGGCGCAATTCCAGTTGATACTGAACGAAGTGAAGTTCGACGACTTGTTATGAATGTTGTTGAAATTGCTCTTATTACTACTAGTTGTATATTAGGTCTTGCACTTGCAATTTTCTTTTTAACATTTAATATTATTAATCGACATCAACGGTAATTTAATTTTTCTTTTTTGTAATATTTCTTCATATGTTGAGAGAGAGAAAAAAAAAGCATCATTCAGAAATGATTAGATACCATCTTTTTAGAATACTAATCGAGTTAAAATATAGAATTACATAGTATAAAATATCACAGAAGAAGCACGATCAACTAATTTTACTGCTTATTTTAGGCGTCAATCTTAGATTAAATAAAAGTTATATTTTTAGAATCTAAAAGCTCATCATTAGTAGACGAAGAAAACAAAAAAACAACAATCTCAATTTCGAAATTAATATAATGTCAGTCACAAAACATTGAATTAGTTTTTTGATTATATGATTTTGAATTTCTGATTAGTGTTTCTCTACAATAGAAATCTGAATCCAAATATTTTCTGACATTTTGCTTATACGAACAAAGTGTACAAATAAAACCCCAAGAAATAATCTTCCTCTTTTTTTATTTTATTTAACCCATTGAATCCGGACGACACGAATTCACGTCCTGATATTTGGAACCTTGAATAACTTTAAAAAAATACGATCTGTTGATTATTTAATGAGATGAATTGCATACTATATTTAGTGATGATTGTTGCTTGTTCCTTAATATTTCTGGCAATTAGCATATGATTTAATGAGTTCGAGAATATGAACCAGTTCGATTATATATTTCGAGAAACAACTGGTGCTCTCAAAAAGAATATCTCATATTATAAAAATCATTCAATCATGACATTTTTAAGAAAGATTCTGATCGAACGATCACTTTTGATGAATAATGTAGAGTGCATTTTTTTGTATAAACTGAAATAACGCAATCCCTGTGGGATTAAACTGTGGAACACGATATACCTATTGTTACTAATTCCCTACAAACGGCTCTTCTTTATGTACACTGGGCGTATTCCATCAGCATTGCTAAATTTACAGAGTAGAACTTCATAAAGGAAATACTCCATGAATACTCCAATTAGATGTTTGTTGTACATAACATCTGATAGTCTCTTGAAGGCTGCTATCAGCCGCCGTGACGATCCATGAAGGATGTCTGTCACGGTTAATTAGTTAATTAAATACTAATTAACTAACTAATTTTGATGTCTGTCACGGTCTATAATGGGACCAAGGCGTGTCTGCCACGGTCTGTGGGAAGAAGAGGTGAATCCAAATTTCTACCCTATATACTTCAACACTCCTTTCAGATCGTGTTTCACAAATAAAACGTAAATCTTCGTTTGGCTACTTATCAACTTGATGTGATTCAAGAAATTATTGGAAAATATGGTAGTCAGGCGCAAAATCCAATTGATCAGCCACCATCTGAAAGTCCATTCCGACTCATAGCATGATATTTTTTTTCGCGCATTGCAAGTAAATTCAAGAAGAACATGTTACGTTTGTGCTAATACTGTGAAGGAAGTCAAGTCGAGAAGAGATACTTCGTATGAATGTGATGTAGGACTATGTCTTATAGATTGTTTTAAAGATCATCACAATCTAAAAACATTTAAAATCATGCATCTCGTGATATTTTAGTAGAAACAGTGCTATCGATTATTCTTATCCACAAATTATTTGTTCACTTTGAAACTACTCGAACTAAATCATTATGATTTTTTCATATTTTGATTTGTATAATTGTTTACATGTCTTTACTTTTAATCTTTTTTTTTCAAATATATCTAAAACAATTTTCGAATTATATCATATATGATTTTGTAGAGAATTTTAAGCATTACAATATTTTGTAAAAATAATTCATCACTTTGTTTTTCGTGTTTTTTTTTCTATATAGTATATTTCACTGTCAACTGACAATAAATAATACCGATTTGAAATGTTATGCTACCAAATTAGTTGAATGAAACAAATCTAGAATTGACATTTGGTCGAAATTTTGAAAATTCAAATGTTGAACATAATTCAACGTTTTCTTCCAAAAGTTTTGGTAATAAATATAATTAATATCTCGTGCGATGACATCTGTTTGCAGACTTACATTGAACGGAGACTATCAAATCTAGCTTAACAGTTTTAGACAAAAAAAGGCTTAAACTCAGAAAAGTTACATAGCACTTGATACAGAAAAAAAATTATGCGTCCTTATTGTAGACAATGTGAATTAACACAGACGAGCAGACGAGAATCATTCGATAGGATAAAGATGCATAACCACTTATTGCTTTCATTTATTGTAAAACTATCATGTATATTCGTTTCATTTTAAATAAGCATTGTTTTGAAAATTGATGAATTATTTTTTTGCAAAATATTGTGTCATTAATCGATTAATGGAAATGGCTGAAAAAAAGAAACATTCATTTTCCTTTTTGTACTAAGGTTTTTACAAGTCTTCAGCGATGAATATCATGTTATAGTCGTTTATATTTGTTAGATTTCTCAAAAATGAATATGTGATATTTCACTGTTTTCAGACAAACCTAATATTTCTCTACGAACGATGATCAAAATCTAAACTTGATCTTTATCAAAACGTATATGATATAAATAGTCGTGATGGAGCTTTATAAAAAATGAAACATACTTCGATTAAAGGAATAAAACTGCACTTGTTTATTTTTTAATAAAAGGAAGCAAACTTGTTCTCAACAAGTTTTATCAGACGAAAAAAGGCATATCTATAAAATATTTTCTAACCGATCAAGACCGCACTATCGCCAGTATATCGCGATACCAACAAGAATCGACGATATATGAGCAGTGTATTGCCAGTCGGAGAATGTCTACCGGTAGAATCCAAACAGACAATAAAAAGCATACGATAGGTGCGACGAGCGCTCGAAAATTGTTCTATCGGAGGATCATGTTCGATTCGTCGATACTTATCGAAGTTTCGAGTAATCGAGTAAAACAAAGATATCGGAAGAAGTGTATTGAGCATTCGAGTATGAACAAGTCGAGCATAAAAGTAGTTTCAAGTGGTTAAGTTAATTTTAAGTTTGTGAAATTTCTTTAAAAAGAGATTTAAAGATGTCTCCTTCATTAGGCTACCTTAGAAAAGTGATCTATATTGCACAAATTTGATTCTTTCCAGAAAATAATTGAGATAAAATGATGGAAAATCACAAGTAAGAACAACATCTAAAGTGATATTAAAGAAAACAAAATCTAAACACATATTGTTATGAATTTTTGAAAAAAATTTAAATCTGATTTTATATCTTATCTCAAAACTCAATTATTTATCAATTAAATTCCTTATATGACATTTGAAACTCACGAAAAAGCCAATTCATTAGTTGCGTATTTAAATTAAGAAAAAAATTCAATTTCGTAAATTTAAATTTCAAATAAATTTACAGAAAAATGACATCGCTAAGTTCTATCCATTTAAGAACTGAAAAGATAATTTTCATAGAAGAAAAATAGATCATATCTAGTTTGAATGTTCGACGACTATTTATTCTTAGTACTCATGTTCTAATCTCCTCCTTCGCATTTATTCGATAGGTTTCGACGACTTGAGACTGACGAGGATAGGTCACCAACTGTTCAATTGCTTTTGAGTCGAAACTATATGCATCATGTAGGTCCTAATGAGCTGTGAATACCCTGAAAAGAGTTCAGGCCGCTAGCTTATTACTGTAGAGATAATGCATTTTTACGATATTGTTAAGCAGAATGCCGTAGCCCGCCTCAGGAGTACTAGCAAAATTGAGTGTTGAATTTCGACTTGAAATTTGATACAGAAACAGATCTTCATGAGAGCAGCTCATTGTGAAAGTTTCAGATCTTTTGGTTGTTCTTATCTTAAGATACAGCTAAAAAGGAGGTTTTTACATTGCTCGTATTCCCCCCCGACATGTTCCAATATTCTTATTTCGGAATAGAAACAATCAAAAGATCTGAAGCTTTTACAATGTGCTACTCTCATGGAGATCTGTTTCTGTATCAAATTTCAAGTCGAAATTCAAAACTCAATTTTGCTAGTACTGCTGAGGCAGACCACGGCATTCTGCTTAACAATATCGTAAAAATGCAGTATCTCGACAGTAATAAGCTAGCGGACCGAACTCTTTCCAGGGTATTCATAGCTCATTAGGACCTACATGATGCACATAGTTCCAACTCACAAGCGATTGAACAGTTGGTGACCTACCCTCGTGAAATATCTATCAAAAAAATTCTTTTTATTTTGAACTTCTCGGTTAAAATCGCTCGACTGGTTGAAAAACACTATGTTTCATTGACCTATCGTCGAACCTTCAACCTATCGGAAAATGAGAATCTGAGCATTCTGTTTTAAATTTCGATGCATACGACAACTTTAAATCGCCGTGTCGAAATGCCTATCAGACTGTCGGTTGAATGTTGATAAACAGTTTGGCTTCATTTAGTTGTTTCTTTTCTCAAAATCAAAGATAGTACTTTGTAAAAATTTTGTAATTAAAAATAATAAATTTCAATTGTACTTTCTGTTAAGTTATATTAAATTATCAAGTCCAAAATTAAACAATGTAATGGTTCTTGGTGCCATGCATATTCATATTTCAATACTTCTTTTTGGTCTCGATGAATGGTTTCTTGATCATAATTTACTTGGACATGCATGCATGGTAAACTATTTCAAATTTGTTTTGAATAATTAATTCTTTTATTTTATTTTTCTAAATAAGTTACGAATGTTTCTATTTTCTGGTGGTTTTTCATTAATGTTTGGTTCAATGTTTTTAAAAACGTTACGTGTTTATCGTATATTTACATCTCGTAATCGACCAATACTACATTCAAAAGTTAGTTATTATTATGAAATAAAAACAAAAAGAAAAAATATAAATAAATATAATTCTTCTATTCTTTCTAAATAGCTTCTTCATGATCATCATCTTTTACTTATATGTTTTATTTTATATGGTATTGATATAATATTTATGATATCTTGGCAAATATTTGATCCAAATTCAGCAAAAATTACATATGGACCAGTAAGAGAAAACGATGAGAATTATTATATATATATATATATCTATAATATTTATTTAGATCAGAAGACTTAATATGGATATTATTGTTTTGGATGAAATATCTTATTGTGATTCAAAATATCGACATAAAATTTTACCATTAATTTATATATATAAATCTTTATTTCTTATAATGGGTGGTTATTTAGCTGCTAAAACACGTCATGTTCATATAGCTGCATTAAATGATTCAAAATTTATTGTATGGAGTATATATGTAGTTGTTTTAACTAGTTTATTTACATTTATTGTAATGATTTTAATGAAAAATTTAACAACATATGTTGTTATATGTTTAATTGTTATTATTATGACAAGTTCAATATTATGTTTAGTTTTTTTACCAAAAGTAACAAAAGAACGAAATTTTTTTTTTAAACGAATTTTTTTTTTCTGTTTGGTATCAGGTATTCATTTTACAAAATCGGCATAAATCTTTACATGCAGTCGTTTCAAAAGATTTAGTTGTTGATGAATCACGTACAAGACGTTTAATTATTGAAATAAGTTATTATGAAAAACATCGTTATGCACAATTACAAAATCGAGAACTTAAAGCGGAACTTATTCGAGTAAGAACATGACTTATTTGTTTAGTAAACTCTTCTAATTGAATATGAAGTCTTACACGAGAGTAGGTAGTAGTTATGTTAAAAATTTTCCATAATCCTTTATAATTTTTCTTTTATTTTAGAGTTTCTGTCTGCTACGATTTTCGCTATTCGACAATGAAGATAGTTTTTCGTAACATTTCGGTAGATTCAAAATGTGCATGTCAACATTCAATTGCTATTTACCAGTGCGATCATCTACCAATTCCTTTCATTGTGGAAATCTTCATTTTTCAGATACTATTCTCAGTCTTACGTGATGTTGCAAAGTGATGGAAAAAAGTTTAGAAACAATGATTTTGTTTGGTTTTTTTTCATAATGTTAAGCACGGAGCTCCAATCCAAATAGTGATTTTAATAGCCAATAGATTTTTCTATCGAATACACTTTATAGCAAGATTTCACAGATGAGACAATGATGGCAAGGCTCCTAAAAAACTGAACACGGTATTTTTCAGATTCCAGAAGACTTTGCTAGAGCTATTTTTGAACGATGCCATCTTAATGAGCACAAACTTCTGAGTCAAATGAAGGATTGTCGAGTTTTCTATGACCTTCTCATGAAAAGTTACAAGCATCACAAAAATCATGGAAAAGGTGTTTTTAGTCGATTTTTAAAAAGATTTCGTTTTTTTCATGATTTTTGTGATGCTTGTAATTTTTTATGAGAAGGTCAAAGAAAACTCGGCAACCCCTCATTTTGCTCAGAATTTTGTGCTCTTTAAGATGGCACCGTTCAAAAACAACTATGACAAAGTCTTCTAGAACCTTAAAAATACCGTGTTCGGTTTTCTAGGAGCCTCATCATCATTGTTCATCTATGAAATCTTGCTATAAAGTGTATTGGAGCTACGTGCTTAACATTATGAAAAAAATAAAAAAAATCGTTGTTTCTAAACTTTTTTCCATCACACTATGTGATTGAATAATATGTTTACAAATTGAGATTTATACGCAGCGAACTAGGAACTATGCTTCTGTCAAACATACGATCAATTTTACACTACAACTGATAGCCATTTTCTCGTAAAAATGAGATCTTCCTTGTCTAAAACGTATACTACTTTAGGTTTTAGTTGAAATGAAGTATTGTGAATCCAAGTCAAATATTTTGTAATATTTGATTATCAAAACAATTTTAGAATAACAGATTTAAGGGTCCTCCCTCAGAAAATCCAATTTTTCGAAGAAAAGTTGAAGTCGAGATTTTATCATAGGAATATGCACCGAAGTCTCCTCTTTCAAAATATCTATGGTTTATCGCAAAATGAATTAATTTTGACGGACTTATCGTCTAAAACTTGGCTTCTACTGTCATATTTTTCGAGAAATTTTCACGGTTTTTTAGGCTACTTTCTCTTTGCATCAGCATTTCATAAAGTTTTTTTTATGTTAATCACTACGAGAGACTATTAACACTTGAGATTAAGATTATATATTTATAGTCTGTTCTGAATACTGATATATAATTCAGGTGTGTTTCGCAAAAATCGATTTCTAAAACTTATTTAGCCTTTTTCTCAAAATCAGTTTTTTTTTCGAACATACCGGTTACGCGAGCAAGGTTTTTTTAATAACAACTTAATAGAGAAGTGATCATTTTTTTTTTATTATACAAAGGACAGTTAAGGCTAGATCCTCACAGAGCCCGATTTTTGAATTCCTCTATTTTTGGTCATGAATTTGAGAAGTTTTCGGAAAAGATTTTTTAAAAAACAAACAAATGGAGTTTCAAAAATCGAGCTCTATTTAGGATCTAGCACTAAGGGGTACTCTACAACTTAAAAAACACCCCGCCATGTTAGCGCGTATCCTGATTGCGAAAACCTTGCCCGCGTACAGAGTATTTTTGACCAATAAATTGACTATAACTCGTTGGTATATTGGAGGTTTGAGGGAGATATTTCATTCACAATCTATCCTAGCCTAGCCTAATATTCTCTCAAAATTTGGTTGAAATTGGACGAAAAATAACAAAGTTGGTTTCTGAGGAGCCCCTTAAAACATATAATAGTAGAAATTTAAAAATACAAAAAATAAAAAAAAAATAATTTTTATTTTCATATAGTTAACTCATATTTTACATGCTGTTGAACAAAAACTTGATGCAATGTCTTCAAATGTTACTCTAGCTCTATTACCAATAGCTGTTCATTTAGCATCAACATGTTTACATACATCTGAAGTTCAGTATGTACAACAACAAAAAAAACAAAAAACAAAAATTAAATAATTAAGATTTTTATTCAAACTTTAATTTAGATTATCAGTTGCTGCATCACCTAGTAAAATAAATATTGAATCGATCAAACCTTCAACAGAACAAATTAATTGTCTTGATCATGATTCAATTAGTTCAAATAATACATTATTTCATTTTGATCAAACAAATTTATTATCGTCACAATCATCATCACTATCTGATCTTAATCTTTCCATAGCTTTACAATCAATTGATGATGTTAGTTCATTACCATTAAGTATTTTAGATAATGAAGAATATTTATCAACAGATGATGTTGATGATAATAAAAGTCTATTATATACACCAATTCAAGCAACAAGTGATAATGAATCGGTGCTTTATTCACGTTTACCAAATGAATTAAATATAGGCACAGCAACATTTGATAGTGATCTAGAAAGAATAGATTAATAGTTGTCTTGTTTTTTTTTTGTAAGATTGGAAAATTAAAAATAAAATAAATTATGTTCATGTTCTTAGTTTAGTAACATTCAATTGAATAGAAAAATCAAAAAATTAAATATATATATATATTTTAAAATGTTTATTCAAAAATTTAAAATGTTGATTTTATAATGAAGAAAAATATATATGAGATAGAAAGACTTTCAAAAGAAAATCTTTCTAATATTGAAGAATTAATGAATTTAAATTTACAGATTACAACAATCAATAAAAATATATGTAGAATATTCGAATGCAAGACATTTATGCTCTTCATGATGATCAGTATTAATATCATAACTTCAACATGTTATCTCACTTAATATAAAATAGATAAAAGAAACATGATATGAGAAAAAAACCTGAAATCTTTTTTTTCTATACACATCAGGTATTGTTAAA